CGCGTGAATTTATTTTATTGAGTCTAAATTACCGACGTGGTCGTAATTCGCCCGGGAATATTGAAATACTCAACTTTGAAATAGCAGGAATGAATAAATATTAATAAATGACTGGGTTTTAACGTGCAAAATAACTTCGAAGAGAATATTAGTTTAAATTGATTTAAATATATTGTTGGATAAAACTTTAAACCGAATTAAATTATCTGGATATTACAATATTTAATGAAGATGTAAGATCAGTCTGAGGGCTGAGGATATATATTCTGATTCTTCCGAGTTTGGTCTTGAGTCCGAAGTGAAGCAGAAGCGATGGTGGGGCAGCTTCCCCTACTGCACTAGGGTCTCTAGGGTCCCACACATGGAGACTACATAAGGAGCACGCACTTAAGTGTGGCATTTGCCAGAGTATGGTCCGCGCTTATCGTATAAATAAAGCTTCCTTTTTTCACCACTAGCGTCGCTAATTTTCCTTTTGTACCGGTGTGAATATAGAGAAATAAATAAACGTGAAGTTAGCGTGAAAATAATCTAACTTCGTTTAACGTAAACACGTAAATAATAATTTTATTTTATTTAATTAAATAAATATAATCAAGTATTCAATAAAATTTAATTTTAAAAATGGGTAGAGTGTGTGCTGTTAAAAATTGTAATACTGGCAGTGCAGCAGATAAGAAACTACGTAAGGAGCTAAATTTGAAGACTCCTGGATTTTTTAAAGTACCCCAAGTAAGTTAATTAATATATTTAGCGATGAACCGAATAAATTGAAGAGAATAAGTATTTTAATGGCATTGTGATTGTTTTTTTTTTATGATAGGAAAACTCAATTAATAAATATATTTCACTTTTTTTATGCGTTTTTGAATAGAGTCCAACACAACGTCAAGAGTGGATAAACTCTCTGTCAATGGAATTAAATAGTCGTCAGTACGTTTGTGATTTGCATTTTCCTGAAAATTCAATTCAGCATTCTTACATTACTAATTTACCTGATGGAGAGATTAATAAAATTGCGAAAGGGCGAATAACCCGAATTTTCAATTCAATCCCACTGATTGTTGATCCACCACAATGTACAACAATTAACTACAGTGATGTTCAAGTTCTGAATAAGAGGATTGAATTACAAGGCAAGGAATTTGAGCAGTGCCAACAGCAGCAGCATCAGCAGCTACAACAACAGCAGGAACAGTTTCAGCAGCAGGAAGAGTTTCGGCAACAGGAAGAGTTTCGGCACCAGGAGGAGTTTCAGCAACAGGAAAAGCAACAGAATGAGTTTCAGCAGCAAGAAGCACAATCAAATGACAATTAAATTGTCATTTGATTGTGCTTCTTGCTGCTGAAACTCATTCTGTTGCTTTTCCTGTTGCTGAAACTCCTCCTGGTGCCGAAACTCTTCCTGTTGCCGAAACTCTTCCTGCTGCTGAAACTGTTCCTGCTGTTGTTGTAGCTGCTGATGCTGCTGCTGTTGGCACTGCTCAAATTCCTTGCCTTGTAATTCAATCCTCTTATTCAGAACTTGAACATCACTGTAGTTAATTGTTGTACATTGTGGTGGATCAACAATCAGTGGGATTGAATTGAAAATTCGGGTTATTCGCCCTTTCGCAATTTTATTAATCTCTCCATCAGGTAAATTAGTAATGTAAGAATGCTGAATTGAATTTTCAGGAAAATGCAAATCACAAACGTACTGACGACTATTTAATTCCATTGACAGAGAGTTTATCCACTCTTGACGTTGTGTTGGACTCTATTCAAAAACGCATAAAAAAAGTGAAATATATTTATTAATTGAGTTTTCCTATCATTAAAAAAAAACTATCACAATGCCATTAAAATACTTATTCTCTTCAATTTATTCGGTTCATCGCTAAATATATTAATTAACTTACTTGGGGTACTTTAAAAAATCCAGGAGTCTTCAAATTTAGCTCCTTACGTAGTTTCTTATCTGCTGCACTGCCAGTATTACAATTTTTAACAGCACACACTCTACCCATTTTTAAAATTAAATTTTATTGAATACTTGATTATATTTATTTAATTAAATAAAATAAAATTATTATTTACGTGTTTACGTTAAACGAAGTTAGATTATTTTCACGCTAACTTCACGTTTATTTATTTCTCTATATTCACACCGGTACAAAAGGAAAATTAGCGACGCTAGTGGTGAAAAAAGGAAGCTTTATTTATACGATAAGCGCGGACCATACTCTGGCAAATGCCACACTTAAGTGCGTGCTCCTTATGTAGTCTCCATGTGTGGGACCCTAGAGACCCTAGTGCAGTAGGGGAAGCTGCCCCACCATCGCTTCTGCTTCACTTCGGACTCAAGACCAAACTCGGAAGAATCAGAATATATATCCTCAGCCCTCAGACTGATCTTACATCTTCATTAAATATTGTAATATCCAGATAATTTAATTCGGTTTAAAGTTTTATCCAACAATATATTTAAATCAATTTAAACTAATATTCTCTTCGAAGTTATTTTGCAAGTTAAAACCCAGTCATTTATTAATATTTATTCATTCCTGCTATTTCAAAGTTGAGTATTTCAATATTCCCGGGCGAATTACGATCACGTCGGTAATTTAGACTCAATAAAATAAATTCACGCGTGTCCACTAGAGTTAGGACATAACAAGCTAAAGCTGTTGCAAGTTTCTGAAAATTTTCTCAAGTGTTTGAGATTTGAGTGTATATAAATACGTTGCATTGAATGAATACCACGTGTATAACATAACCCGAAAATATTGTGTATTAAAAGTACTGTAGCGAATAAATAGGTATGTTTTTATTTAACAAAATATTTAGAAGGTAAACATTGATCTTAGAAAATAACTCTACCGAATATAAAAAAATTTTATTTTCAAATCTGCATCATCAGTTTATGCCAAAGTTAAATAAATGTATAATTAGAATTTACTCCATAACAAAACATATTACCTCGTTTTAATTTATTTTTTTGTTCCTTTAGAAATTTTTTTTATTAATTCTAATTAAGTAATTTTCTCTTGTAGATAAATATGAAGGTTAAAAGTAAAAAAACCGAAGCTAAAGTAGCACCTGATTCAAAAAATGAATCCCAAAAAGTATTGTTGCCAGCCAAAAGAAGGTCTGATGAAGTGATAAAAAAGGTTAGTTTTACAAATATAAATAATAATTCGCTAATTTAATAAAATACCCTTTTATGATTCTAAAATTAACAGACATTTGAATAACTATGTTTAGACATTCGATAATTTTTTGAATACTAAAACTAGCAGACATTAAAAAATTATCAGTTTTTTTTATAATTTAATTAAAAATAGAAAAAATATTTTTAAAAATTGAACGTATAATTTTTCAAATTTACTGCAGGTGAAATTTTTTATTTTAATCTTTTAGCAATAATTTTTTAATGAAAAAACTTTAAAAATTGTTAGATGTCTACTAATTTTATTTTCAGTTACGTAGTTTATGTCTAATAAATAGCTAGTCAATAATTTTTTCTTATCAATTGCAAAACAACAAAGATATTGTACAAATTCTTAAATAATATGTTGTAAATTGATTTTTTTTTTTTTTTATTTATTTAATAGTCGCATAAACAGCATGGTCATGAGCGACTTCAAGATTACAAACAATGATAAATAGTTATAAATTATATTTCAAGTACACATAGAAAATACTAAAGTGAATATTTTAAGCAGTTATACATGGTTAATTTAAAGATTTCAAATCATACTGTAACTGGTGAACCAATAATTGTTAAATATTTGGACTACAATTTAGAAATTTTGACTAGATTATATTTTTGTGAAAATTTTTAATGACTTTAATGTTTTTATCACATCCTGGAGGTACTTCTCGTCGCTCAGGCACGTGGACAGGTCCATTGGGGCGGTGTTGAGTGGACATTCAGCCAGTATGTGGTGTACAGTTATTGGTGCGTTGCATTTTGGACATTTAGTATGGGTCTCTCGTGACATCAGGTAGTTGTGAGTAATATAGGTGTGACCTATTCTTAGACGGGTGATTATGGTTTGGATTTTGCGATTTGGTGACTTTGGAGGTATTTCCCATACATTAGCTCTTACTTGGTGTAAAAGTGAATCTGAGCTCATCCAATTTCCATTCCATTTGGCCCATATGTAGGCATTGACTACTTTTTTAAACTCGTCAGGTGTGGCTTGTTCATTTGTTGTTAAGGTACCTTCTGTTAGGGCTTTTTTTTTTGCCGCCAGGTCTGCTTCTTCGTTGCCCTGGAGACCTTGATGAGATGGTAGCCATGCTAGTATCTTGTGGTATTGTCTGTCATTTAGTTGATGCAGTTTACTTTGAATTTTTATAATTCTGGGGTCTTTGTTAGTGGTATTTGAAATGGCGTCGAGTGCTGATTTTGAATCAGTTAAAATTATGGCTTTTTGGATGTTGTTCTTGATTATATGATCGATTGCTTTTTTGGATTGCTATTACTTCGCAAGAAAAGATGTTAGTAAAGTCTGGTAGACGGTACATGAAAGTTTGGTCGTCATGGATAATTGCACAACCTTTTTTTCCATTTTTTACTGAGCCATCGGTGTATAGTTTACAGTATCCATTGTATTTATCATACATTTCTGCAGTGAGGTTGCTATCGATTTGTTTAGTTGTGAGGTCTTTACCGAATGAATTATTGTATACATGGAGATCAATTAGGGGCTCAAACAGTTCCCATGGTGGAATTGGGTGTATCATACGCTTGTGGACTGCTATATTGATTTTTATTTAGAGAAAAAAAATGTAATTTTTTAGTCACCATTTCATCGTTGTATTAAAATTTGAAACTGTCGAAAAAAAAATTAATTATGCATGTGTTATTATTCTTATAAAAATTGAATATTTTTTTGTAGAATCATATTAATATGACAAAATTTTTTCAAGTTATATGCATCAACTTAGTTAAATTAAGATAAACTTTAAATTCATTATCAAATAAAATTTTATGCTTAAATTTCTTAAAAAAAAAAATCAAAAACTTTATACTTACGTATTCCATTTAAACTTGAAATTGCAAGCAACATTGTTGATAATTAAATATTTTTCTATTTCAGACAAAATGGATCAACAGACAGCGAGTTCTAGTACTGGCTTACAGAGGAATAAATCTTAGATCTCGGCATTTAATGGAGGATTTAAAAAGACTTATGCCCCATCATCGGCCTGAAGCTAAAATTGAACGCCAAAAAAATCTCCAAGCAATTAATGAAATCTGCGAGGCAAAAAATTGTAATAAAGCAATTTTATTCGAAGGCCGACTTAAACGAGATCTTTTCATGTGGTTCGCCAACGTCCCGAGTGGTCCTTCTGCTAAATTTCTTGTCGAAAACAGTAAGTTCAATAATAATAATAATAATAATAATAATAATAATAATAATCACATAAAATGTTTGTTTATAATCATGGTCATAAATTGATTAATTTAATTTTTGATTACAGTTCACACTATGGGCGAGTTAAAATTAACTGGAAATTGTTTGAGAGGATCTCGACCATTGTTATCTTTTGATGAAAGTTTTTCAACAGATATCCAGTATGGAGTTTTAAAAGAATTGCTTACTCAAATATTCGGAGTGCCAAATCAGCATCCAAAAAGTCAACCTTTCTTTGACCATGTTTACACCTTCAGTATCTTGGACAACAGAATATGGTTTAGAAATTTCCAAATTTTAACGGAAGACGGTGGCTTGGTAGAAGTAGGCCCGAGATTTGTTTTAAATCCAGTTAAAATTTTTTCTGGAAGTTTTGGCGGACAAACCATTTGGGAAAATCCTCATTATATTTCACCTGGTCAATACTTGAGATCGTTTAAAGAGAAAGCTGGTAAAAAATACTTGAACCGAATTGAGCAGAAAGTTGCTCTTAAAATTAATAAGCCAGAAACTACTTACTCACTCAATCCATTGGATGAGATATTCAGTGGGGATGTTGATAAAAAAGCCGAAGATTTGGATAAACTTGAATCCCAGCCAATTAAAAAACAAAAAGTCCAAAAAGTTACTAAGAAAAAACTGAAAAAAATTGATGTTCAATAATTTGTATTATTAACGTTATTTTTGGTATTTATAGAATAAAGTTATAAATTTTTTTTTATAAAAATTAACAATTTAGTAGTTTTTCTTTTTTTTTTTTTTTAATAATTATTTTATTTCTAGAGTATCAAGTGTTTCATATAGTTAATGAAATTTTCATAACTATCATTTCTTCTTACCAACAACAACAGTTTTTCTTCAACTTAAACTATTAAAAAATAAATTAATTTTTTCTATTATTTTCAGACACATTGCTAATAAGCAAAATCTTGACCAAATTCTAATTGAAGAGATTCTAATCTAGAAAGTGTAAATTTTAGATGTTCTTCTAAATTTTATCAAAATAACGAAAAAGAATTTGTACCACCCATTTTATTAAATTAAACAGATGTTTCTTGATATTTTTTATTAGCATCCAAAAAATTGGTCAAAAAAATAAACGTTGAATACTTTTTCTTTCTTTAACTCCCTATCATTTTACCAAGTTTACGTTAAAAATTTTTTCAAACTCAAAAAACTGACTTTGATTTCGAAAAAGAAAAATTTTATTAACTAAAATACCTCTTAATAAACTTCTTACAGAGTATAAAAAAACCGATTGATGTTACAGCTCGTAAAAGTAATAAGATCAGTATCTTTCTTTTCTTTTTCAACTACCTACATAAACTAAGATAGGAATTTTAAAATAAATTAAATAGATAATTTTTAATGTTTCATTCTTGCTATCAGCTTCAGACTTGGTATTTACTGTTAAATAATGTAATAAAGTATTTTCTGTTACTAAATATGATATTGAAATCAGTGTTTCTCCTTACTCAACCCACTTTTAAAATTATTAAAGCTTATGACTTCAACGATTTTTTTAAACAAACAAGTTTAAAATTTTCTATATTATATTCGAGATATTACTTAAAATTATAGTCGAGAGTCGAAGATACCCGAAGTAGCGTCTCTTACTCGTTTGAATTTATATTGATCTTTCAATTATTATGCACCTCTTGCCTCTCATTCTCATTCCCACTCTAATTATCAAGTTGTTATATATATTATAGTTCATTGTTTATAAATACTAAAACTTTTTTTAAATTTATTCTAAAATGGGTATGAAAGAAATTAATACATGGGTTTTAATACGAAGATACGATAAATTAGGTAATTATTTTTTTGTAAAATGATATTTTATTATTTCATTGATAAAATTGATATGAAAAACTAAAGAGATATTTGTTTCAAAATTTTGCTCAAAAAATTCTTTCTAAGCTAATAATTAATGTATATAATAATAATAATAATAATATACCAAGAATAAAATAGAAATAATTGGTTAAGATTAAAAAAAAAAAAGTAAAAAATTATAACAAGAATAAAAATATTGTAATACTCAATATTTTATCTATTAATTATTAATTTTATAGAATCTGATAACGCAAAACTCCAAACAAGTTTAAAAAAATTGACACTAAGCCATGACATGATTTCCGACGAATTAAAATCATTGATCTGTGGATCTATTGATGTCGATGATGATGGTTCAAAAGTATTTAAAATTCGACGATTTGACAATAATCTCATACCTTTATCAACTTTACTGAATGGATCATCGCCAGAAAGGTACCGCCTATTGATTATAATCAGAGTTGCAGACGTTAAAACTGTTTAAAAAATTCGGAAAATTGATTAAAAATGTAGTGGGAAAATTGTAGACGACTGATCAGGGTTGCGGTCAACCAGTCAGATCGACAACATTCCGAATTATTAAAACTCTAGAAAATTTAAAATTCCGCTGCATTCAAAGTTTATAAAATACATTAGCTTAAATAGAATACCAGCCGAAAAACAATTTTGTAAATTATAAAACACCGGGTTATCGAATATAAGTAAATATAAATCTTATATTTCTCAAGAGTTAAAATTAATTTGATTTCGAAAAAGGTACGTTCGTTCCGACGTATATTCATCCAAATACTCATCTATCCGAATAATGATTTGGCCGAAAATTACTCATTCAAAAAATTGGAAATTTTTCTTAGACTGTCTACCTTCACAAGCATGAAATTCGAGTATTTTCCATACATGCTTGTAAATTAAAATAAAATTAATTAATTTTAAAAAATTTCTAATCTAAATATAAAACTATTTACATTTTTCGGCTAAATGAGTGTTCGTCTGTTCATTCATTTTGGCGTACAAATTTTCGTTGTTATGTTTTTTAATTTATTGAGACTTTGTGACTTTGAAAAATTCTATTAATATAGCTTTAGTTTTTTCTTCATTTAAGATTATATTTTTCGGAATTTTAAAATTTGTAAAATTAATTATTTTAAATTACATTTAATATTTACTTTCTAAGTTCTAGTAATTTATTAATTCGGAATGTTGTCAGTCTGACTAGTTGACTGCAACCCACTGATCAGTTTGATTATAAGTGATAAATTTAAAATTTCATTATCCATAAATAGAAAAATCAAAATTTTTTTATAATATTGACTTTCATTTTATTTTTCAGACCATTTATTATTGACGTGGTTGGAGTTCATCAATACTGTAAGTTGCTTTAATATTTACCGTTTATGAAAAAAATTCTGGCTCAGTTATATGTATATATAAATATCACACCTGGTTATTTTTAAAGTAATTTTTGAAGAACTAGAAGAGTATAATTTGTCATTATTCCTGGTCATAAAATCAGCATTAGATTTTTTTTAAGTATCACTTTTTTTTTTCAAACTCAAATATAAAATAATAAAAAGAAAAATATTTATCAAAAATTTTTATTTTTCCATTTGAAGAACTTAATTTCGGTAAAAACCCTAAAAATTTAATAAGTTGACGTTTAAAATTTTTCGTAAATTATTTTTAGTTGTAAAATGTAAAGATAGTATTGAAAATCACTAAAATTGTTTCGATAAATTTTATTAACATTTTCAAATCGAATTGAAAAAAAATATTTTTTCTATATCATAAATTTTCTTTTTAATAAAGTTAAATAAAATATTACGAATTTTACATAAACATTAACAACAATAATATTTATGATTCAATGTCTAACTAATCTTTGACTATTGTGATCAGAGCTTGACTTTTCCTGTATTTAAATAATTATTTTAAAACAATCACATTGCTATTTTATTATTATTATTATTATTATTATTATTGTTATTAGAAATTTTTTTTTCTATGAGTGTTATTTTATATCAAACATAAAAGAGACTCACTTAAAACTGTAAGAATTATTTAATTACAAAATATTGACTTGTCTTAAATTATGAGTTGTAATAATGACATTATGAGCCATCATTTTTTGTCTTAATGAAATAAATTCATTACTATTAATAATAAAAATATAATTTCAGGCCCAGTTGAAACACGTACAATTTTACCAAGCTACATCGATGCATTACAAGCTAAATTTAAAGATTTAGAAAAAAGAGTAAAACTAGCGGAAACAGCATTACCAAATTTAAACGATAATCATGTTAAATCTATTGAAGATGCGGCAACTCAATTATCAACTTGTCTTCATTTTCTTGATCGTCGCCTCGATGAACTTATTCCCGCTTCATGGCAATCACAAATCAATTCTTCAGCTTAAAAAAGAAAGTATTTAACTGAATGAGGCATGACAATGTTAAGGCGTGAATATGCACTTTTTAAAACTTTTTTTTTTTTTTAATTACAAAGTAAATTGCGAAAAATTATTAATTCAGAAGATAAATATTAAAAAAAAAACATTACTGTTAATGCTTTTTTAAGATATTATACTTTTAAATTCTAATTTTTTATTTCGATTTGATGACTTTCATCAAAAATTTGTTTGAACGCATTAAAGAAATACATGTGTCATTGTTAAAATATAAGTGTTAACAGCTCAGATTATTTCATAAAATTAAATAAATATCGAAATATTTATATTAACAATCGAAATAAAAAAATAGTACATAATATTCTACTGATAAACGGACGTAAATTTTCTTTAATCAACCGATTACATAACATTCCATAAATAAATTCTCAGCACAATAATTATTCTTTAATAATAATTTAAGAGTCGGTTTATTAAAAATTTATTATATGTAAAAAAAAAAAACAATTTTATGCAATGTAAACAAATGTTTTATTTAATAAACTATTAATATAAATTACTATAATTTAAAATTATTTACATGTAAAAAAATAAAACCAATTAAGGTAGTACCTCTGTAAATCTACTATTTAATAAAAATTTAATCGAATTTATTAAAAATAGTTTTTTAAGAAAAAAAAAAACATTCATTGTCTTCCGACTTGTTGGAAAAATATTAAAAAATAAGTAAATTATTGGGAGACATGACTAAAAATTGGTGAGTGTAAGCACCATAAAATCTAAGGAACGGAGATACTACCCTAATATATAATTAATGGAATTTTTTTTATATGACAACAAACAAACATATTATTAATGTACTTAAATATCGTCATACATACAAATAAAATAATTTTTTTTCCATAAAATTGTGATGGTACAAATAAAAATTATTTTTCTTTAACTGAAAAATATTTAATTTAAAACAAAACATTGTTATATATTACTCTTTAAAAAAAATAAAATTAAACAAAATAGTTAACTTTAAAACTAATAATTAAAATATATCATTTTATGATTTATTTTAAACATTTTTTATGCAATTTTATTTTTATCTCAATTACAACACTCTGTAGAAAAATATCAATATATTTTTGTAATATTTTTTCTTTTAAACTAGTCATATAAATAATAAATTTTTTTTTTGTCACCTGGAATACTTAAAATTTTTTGAATAATTTTTTAACGAATATTTTGATGATTTGATGAACGGTAATCGTTCCGAACACTTTTTGGTAATGTTTAACAATGTAATTTTTCAACTTCAACTCGTTTCCGAGATATTGCTATCGAGTAACGTTAAATTAACTTCACTATTAATGTTGTTGACGTTGATTTCTACATTGTAAGTATTTGCCTGCAAAGAATAAAAAAGGTATGAATTATTAGATTCCTTAATTTAAAATTAATAAATAGATTAGATGAATATTAGTCAGATAAAAACTTCAATTATTGATATCCTATTTTATTCCAAGATTTATTTAACAAGTTAAAAAAATATAAAATAGTCATTAATAAAAACGAAAAAAAAAAATTAAGTTTACTTTAGTCTATTGTGAAGTGAGCAAAAATTTCTTATGGGAACAAGCACTCTTTTGAAAAACTCATTTTTAATTATTTTTGTAATCTACTCTAATAAAGTATGAATAATCAACATTATTAAATATATACATCAATTCAATACTTAGTAATTTCAAAATAAAGAATACTAGTCACCTGCAGTCACTACGAGACTGCCGAGATTTACTGATTATGAATATGAAAACTTTGGCTTAATAATTTTTTGATATTTTTAATTACACTATACATAGTTTGGTCACTTTTTAAATGGATTAAAAAAATAATAGTGCTATTACAGTATTAATTACAAATAATTTAATGGATAGATTATCACGAAAAAAATTTATAGAACCAATAAACTATTAAAAACTCCTCCAAAAATTCAACACAAAAAATTTGACTATCACTAAAAAATATATAAAACCGTGAAAAGGCACTAATTCTTGTCAAGACCTTTCTGATAATACTAAATTAAACTATAAAAATTCCTTTAAAAATCATAATATACTCGTCACAAAATTTTTTTTACTCTCTTAATTATTTAAATCATAAATGACTATCGCTGAAAAGATATCGAACCCAATTTACGACAAAGGTACCCGTTAAAAAATTTCTCCGAGTTTCTTAATTGTATAAATTAATTTTTGACAAATAACAACATGACCATGTACAAAACAAAATAAATACATAAACAAATTTTTTTTATTGCGAAATTCGAATCTATTCCCAGTCCTACTTCGAAAACTTATTATAATAAATTAACAATTTCTGAAAAGAATATGAAACATTTAATTGAAAAGGCACTAGTTCAGTTACCAATGATACTAAATTTAATTAAAAAAACTCATTTTGTCATATAAATACTCCGGAGACAAAATTTTTATCATTCTCTTAATTTTATAGATAATAATAAAGAAGAATTTGAATAACAAGCAATAAAGGAATATTCATTTTTAATAATCGAATTTTTGTAATTATTTCAGCAAATTAATGACTTTTGCTTATCATGGATGTCAATAATCAGTTGATTTTTGTCAGGCTGTCAATAATTGATATATCTGAGAGATTGGCTTCATCTGGTAGTATCATCAGTTGAAATAAATAATTAAATTAGAGAAATTACTATTAAAAAAATAAATTTTTCAGTCATAAACTGATTAATGCATTGTTGAAAAAAAAGTTTAATCTTCAAAAAAATTGTGATCCTCGCCATGTTTTTTAGTCTCAATAATTAGTGGTTTTACCTTATGTAAAATTATATTGTAACTCTGGAAACATTAAGAATCATACAATTCAAATTTTAATAATTAGATATTTCATCAACTGAAACTTTTATTGACTAAATAAACTATTCAATTCATAAAACAAAAAAAAAAAAATCTTACCAAATGTAAAGAAGCAACAAATAATCGCGCAATATTTCCTGGTTCTTCCTCATTTTCAGCAATTTCATGAAATTCCACCTGATGCGTCTCCTTCATTTTCAAGCTCTCCAAGATCCTCTTTTCATACTCATCGACGTGAAAACTTGGTCTACTAGCAGCAACTTTCAATGCTTCTATCGTCTCCAACCACTTTGCAGACTCTTCATGTTCATTTTTTCCATCAAATTCCTTCCTCAACTCTTTCATTTTTCGTTCAATTCTCTCAACTAAACCCTGGCCAACAGTCTCGGAATCATCTTCCTGTATTCTTCCCATTACCGAAAAATCAGCCGTATTTTCAAGATCGGAAAAGTCATCAAGTGACCGAGGAGATGAGTAGAAACCATCTGAGTAACTAGTAAACAATTTGTTCCTGCAATCAATTATAGTATCAGCATTAAATTCTCCATCGTTTTCTATTCCCATACCAACATCACAGTTAGAATCTTCATCCAGCAACCTAGGCTCATAACCTATTAATTCACCATTAACCATCACAGGACAATAATTAACACGTTCAGTTTCTTCCACTAGTTCTTTCTGCTGACTAACCAAAAGCTTTATTTCTTCTTCATTCTCAGCGACCAATTTTTTTAGTCTCTTACTATTCAAACTTTCATTGTCGCTGTTCAAGAACGACTTTAATTGGTTCTTTTTTCTTTCATTAATCGTCAGTTTACGCTTCCTTGGTTTTTTGGATCCTTTTAGTAAAGCAGCATGACAAGGTAATTTGAACTCACGTCTCAAACGTGGTAATTTGTCTGGAACACCAGATTCGAATGGTATCGGATCGAGTATGCTAGTATTATTAATATTAATATTATTATCATTAGTTTCTAGGATATCTGTTACGGAATCAGTTGAACTGCGTAACCTTTTAATTGGTAAAAATAACTGTTGACAATCATCAGGATCACCAGATGTATAACCAGCATCTGTTTCAATAGAGTCACGGGTTCTAGGAATTTTTTCAGGGTTTTGGTTACTATCACAAAGATTTTGTACTTGAGATTGATTGCTTTCAGGTTCTACCGTTACTGAAGAAGTATTTACATTAGACTCAGATTCTAATCCTAGACTTTTTCCGACTGATTCTTGACTTTCATGACCAGAATCAAAAGACAAAGGCAAAGAATCATGTGCCCCATTATCAGATTCATCGATAAGTTCATTACTTGTATCACATTCTGTGGGTGCATCTGTATCTGATGATAACAATCGTTCATCAGTGGAATCACGACGACTTGAATCGCTGATTGGTACTGAAAAATCCGAATTAATCCGCGAACTAGGTGTGTTTGGATTTGAATTGGATGTCGTTGATCCATAAGCCGATTCAATCGTTGGACTCAACATTCCATTAGCATGCGTTTCATAGTCAGAACATAAATCAAAGTTTTCAAAATTAAAATCCGTTTCTACATTATCAGGATTAGCATCTATTCCAGTATTTTCAGTGATCAAATCTCTAGCTTCAGGATTTTCAGAACTGTGATCATCAGATAAATTTATATCAAATTGACGGATGCTGTTTGTGAAATCTAGTGGCGTTATTGCGTCAATTAGCATCCGTGATGTTGACAGTTGTTGATTGCAACGAAAATCATATTTTTTACCGATCGCTTCCCCATTTATGTCGATTATTTCGTCCGTGAATGCTTTACGGGTGATATCTTCTAATTGGGGATAACGCTGGTTTATTAATTTTATCTTTTGGGATTTTGACGGCATCGATTTTTGGGTTGAGTTTTTTAAAGTTTCGGATGATAGATTTAACAAGTCAAAGTTTTTAAAGTCAACCTGCGTTTTTCGGGATCGCCGGATAGATTTTGCTGTGGCTTTTTCCGATTCAACTTCGTGTCTGAAAGTTTAATTATGTTTTATTAACTAGATATTGATGTTAAATACTTAACACTTAGAAATTATTGTTAATCTTGCTTTCAAAGTTTATATTAAGGTAAAAGCCCCAATAGATGATCACGTACCAGTATATGATCACTCCATGTATTTGTATATCTATATTCACTAGGGTGGCGCAAAAAAACCGACTATTTTTTTTTTTTTAGTCTCGAGTGAAAAAATGTTAGTTTTTGATGTTTTAAGAGCCCTCACCAAAGGACAGCTCAAAAAAAAAATTTTTAAGAGGTCACTCCAAATTTTTCAAAATTTCAAAAATTGAAGTTTTTTTTTTTTTAATTTTTTTTTCTCGTTACGGTATAATTTTATAGACCAAAAAAAAAATAAGTTTCTAAAAGTTTCAGTTCAAAATTTAAATTTTGAAAGGTCGCTCATAATGTGTAAATGATATTACATAAATATGACAACATTACAAGAAGTGTCTGCTCAATTGATGAAGCCGGCGAAAGACTTAGCGGACTGGCAATTTCCTTTGTCAAAGGTTCTATTAATTTTTAATACTTTTATACGGTTTGATAAATATATTAATTTTTTAAAAATTTACCGAAAATTTTTTACACAAATTAAAAAATGAATGTTTGTGAAATCAAATATCTTATAAGAATTCATAATTGATTATTGATGATTTTGTTCAATGAAAGTAATAGTAATTTTTTTACAGGTACTCGAGAGTTATTACACATTACTTGATCAGCAACAAGATTTAAATTTCGGTGAAGCCGCATTAGTTTTACAAAACTCAGCGAATGTTTACGTAAGACGAGTTGAAGCCTTGTATCAGGAAACAACAGCGTTACAGCAGTCTTTTTTAGACCATGAGTAAGTGTATTTTTCAAATAGATAATTAATTTATATTAAAGGGTCATTCTGGTTCCGGCGCTCGAAAAAAAAAGCCAATATTCATGATTTTTTTACACAGAAACTATTATAGATATTAATATAAAACTAACTCAGCTCAACAAATACACTCTTGAGTAACAAAAAATATATAAATTTATTTATTTTTTAATTTTTTTTTATAAATAAACAACAGGTGAACGAAACTCCTCCAAAAGTTGGTTTGTCGCTGATGTACATGATAATAACTTGATAACGGCTCATCTAAAAATCAATGACCAAAATTATTTACGTTCAATATATAAGTAATTATTGCATCAGCTACGGAGATTTATATTTATTGATAAATAATAATAATAGCAGACATTAAAAAAAAACTGAAAAATGAGGCCTTTTTTTCATAGTTTTTACTCTTAAAAAAATAGCAAAAATCTAACTTTTTATTTAATTGTAGCTAATGCAATAGCTACTACTATGTAAAATGTGTGGCTTAAATTTCATTAAGATTGAGTCAGTGATTCCAGAGATATCATTTACGTAAACCAGAAAAACATATTTCTGAGATAAACGCGTTTAAAGTTTTTTTAATAAAAAAAAAAAAATCTTCCCTTAAGTCAATCAGCCATACCGGGACCATACATACTGAATCCTTCAGGGGACCTGGTGGTCTAGAAGCTTAGAATTACATGAGTTTTTAAAATTTTTTTTTATATGAAAATAAAAACCAAAACTTTTGGAATTTTAAAGGACTATTTTATTACAATTTGAGTATACAAGAATGATGATAGAAAAAAAAGTTATTTCAAGTAATTTAAAAATGGCGCTGCAGTCAGTCCCCTCAAAAAAAAGAACCTGGGTGGCGTAGGATGTTTCAGTTTTTCTATGGATCTGAAATTGAAAAAAAAAAAAAAAAAAAACGAATTTTTTATCATTAAAAATATACCTATCGCAGGAACTAGAATGAAAAAAAAAAATTTTTTCTTCTAAGAAATGGCGCGTTATTAAAATTTTTTGAAAACTTCAGCGTGCCATTTCTTCAAAAAAATTTTTTTTTTCATTCTAGTTCCTGCGACAGGTATATTTTTAATGATTAAAATTCGTTTTTTTTTTTTTTTTAAATTTCAGATCCATAGAAAAACTGAAACATCCTACGCCACCCAGGTTCTTTTTTTTGAGGGGACTGACTGCAGCGCCATTTTTAAATTACTTGAAATAACTTTTTTTTCTATCATCATTCTTGTATACTCAAATTGTAATAAAATAGTCCTTTAAAATTCCAAAAGTTTTGGTTTTTATTTTCATATAAAAAAAAATTTTAAAAACTCATGTAATTCTAAGCTTCTAGACCACCAGGTCCCCTGAAGGATTCAGTATGTATGGTCCCGGTATGGCTGATTGACTTAAGGGAAGATTTTTTTTTTTTATTAAAAAAACTTTAAACGCGTTTATCTCAGAAATATGTTTTTCTGGTTTACGTAAATGATATCTCTGGAATCACTGACTCAATCTTAATGAAATTTAAGCCACACATTTTACATAGTAGTAGCTATTGCATTAGCTACAATTAAATAAAAAGTTAGATTTTTGCTATTTTTTTAAGAGTAAAAACTATGAAAAAAAGGCCTCATTTTTCAGTTTTTTTTTTAATGTCTGCTATTATTATTATTTATCAATAAATATAAATCTCCGTAGCTGATGCAATAATTACTTATATATTGAACGTAAATAATTTTGGTCATTGATTTTTAGATGAGCCGTTATCAAGTTATTATCATGTACATCAGCGACAAACCAACTTTTGGAGGAGTTTCGTTCACCTGTTGTTTATTTATAAAAAAAAATTAAAAAATAAATAAATTTATATATTTTTTGTTACTCAAGAGTGTATTTGTTGAGCTGAGTTAGTTTTATATTAATATCTATAATAGTTTCTGTGTAAAAAAATCATGAATATTGGCTTTTTTTTTCGAGCGCCGGAACCAGAATGACCCTTTAATATAAATTAATTATCTATTTGAAAAATACACTTACTCATGGTCTAAAAAAGACTGCTGTAACGCTGTTGTTTCCTGATACAAGGCTTCAACTCGTCTTACGTAAACATTCGCTGAGTTTTGTAAAACTAATGCGGCTTCACCGAAATTTAAATCTTGTTGCTGATCAAGTAATGTGTAATAACTCTCGAGTACCTGTAAAAAAATTACTATTACTTTCATTGAACAAAATCATCAATAATCAATTATGAATTCTTATAAGATATTTGATTTCACAAACATTCATTTTTTAATTTGTGTAAAAAATTTTCGGTAAATTTTTAAAAAATTAATATATTTATCAAACCGTATAAAAGTATTAAAAATTAATAGAACCTTTGACAAAGGAAATTGCCAGTCCGCTAAGTCTTTCGCCGGCTTCATCAATTGAGCAGACACTTCTTGTAATGTTGTCATATTTATGTAATATCATTTACACATCAGCGGTTAGCAAATAAACAAAAAATTATTTCTATCTGAAAAAATAAAAAAAAAGTCATGATTACTTTTATTAATAATAATATTAATTATTTTTATTTCAATTGAATAAAATAATAAGTTCTAAAAATAATTATTGATGATAAGTTCTGTGTGATGAATCACACAGTTTTTAATCGATAGATATTGAAAAAATGTATATACCATTAAAAAAAAAAAAAAAAAATCTTAGCTAAATCTACATTTAAATCGAAATTCATAGAAGAATATAATATCGAACTAAATAAAAGAATAAAATAAATTTATATCTGCAAACTACTTTAAACTGAACAAATAATCTTCCAAAAGAATAAAGAAAAAGTGTGTTAAGTGTCAATAATGGCGCTAAAACCACCTTATCTAATTATCATTATTCACGATAACATTGGTCTAATTGAAAGTATCGGTACTTTAGATTAATTTAATTGAATCTATTAGTCATTTAATGTTGGTGAAAAAAAATTTTTTTAACTAAAAATAAATGAATATTATTTGACAGTAACTATAAAAATGAGATTTTTTCATACAATGATATGTTATTACGCATTGCATTGATAAAATAAACTAATGGTCATTACTCGAATCAAGAAATTTTGCTTGAGACGTTTGAATAAAATATAATTTTTAAAAAGACATAAATTTTTACATATTTTTAATAAATGAAAAGGTAAAAATAAAATTAGCAGTATTTAGCGAAAAAATAAACGTTTTAACTCTGATAAAGAAGAATATAAATTAGATATCTTGACTTTCAAATACTATAATCTAATAAATTTGAATGTTATCAAATCTCCTTTGTTAGGCACATGATTTCTTTTTGTAGTCTATCAGTTATTTACGGAAAAAAAAAAAAAAAAAAAATAAAAACGTAACAATGATAGAAATATATAACTAGAATTTAATTTATTTTCAAAAAATGAATTTTTTTTCTCCTGAAAAATTTGTAATACTGTGTATAAGAGTCGAAATAAGAATTATATATGATCACTTTAGTATTTTGTATTGATAGAATATTCAAATATATCGAAAAGATTCGCGTTTATATTATAAAGAAGATTTAAAATTCCTAAGATTGTAGCAGACAACTCACAATTTTAAAAATATTTTCTGAAATCATTCGTTTATAAATGATTTACTTATTGCAAAAATAATAATATAAAAAATACATTTGAAAACTTTCAGAAGCTTTTTCTATAAAAATTTTTAGATTTTTTTTATAATCATTAAATATAAAATTTATAATAACTTTATAAATTCATAAAAATCGAAATTTCGTGCGGTGAGTTGAATTTATAAAAATAATTTTGATACTGTTGCTATTTGCGATTGAAATTTTCAAGAAAATTTCTTTCTAATAAGACGAATTTGTTTTTTTCAAATATTTCATTTTCTAAAAACTTAAAAAATATGTGTGACTAATTTTCAACGGAAGTATAAAAATAACTTGAAAATAATTCATTTCTACTGATGGTAATGAAATTAACAGACATCTGAGAGCTTTCAGCATTTTTTTGATAAATAAATTATTAAAAAAAAAAAAAATCCAGAAAAAAAAATTTACAGATCGGAATTAAGAAAAAAAAACTAGAAATGTCAAGATTTTGCAAAATAAAACAATAAAGTGATAAGTTGATTTCAACATACTTTAAATTGCACTCATTTTTTTAATTAAAATAAATAATTAAATAAAAAAAATCCAGAAAAAAAATTTACAGATCGGAATTAAGAAAAAAAAACTAGAAATGTCAAGATTTTGCAAAATAAAACAATAAAGTGATAAGTTGATTTCAACATACTTTAAATTGCACTCATTTTTTTAATTAAAAATTTTTTAATTGCAAATTCATCAACAAAAAGAAATTTACTGTTTTGAGTCTTTAATATCGTATAACGAATTTCAATTTCCAAATAATAGTTTGTGATAAAATTTATTGAACTAAAATTAAAACAAATAAATTAGTTAGTGTAACATTTTTTTCATTAACGAAAATCCTAAAAATGAATAATTGTCTGTTTACTTCAATATCATTAAAATTTAATTTCATTTTTTAAAAATAAAAGTTGAAAGCAGTCGATAATTTAAAAAAAAAAATAAATAAAATGAATTAACAAAAAAATTTCAAACTTAATATTTTGCAAGTTGTAATTTTTTTTTTTTTTTTAGCTTAATTACTAATAAAAATAAATTTTAAATTTGATTTTCAAGTGCATGTCATATCATATCCAGTGTATGTACATGTGAAACATTCTCACATGTATTGATGTATAAAAACATGTATGGACATGAATGAAAATTTTTCCACATCTGAAAATAACAAAATAGATTACAATTCAAAATTAATAACTTATAAATGTTATGATTTATGATGACAACAAGAATAATAATTAAAAATAATAAAATTGTATGATACGAGACAGTGAATATATAAAACGAAAATATAAACACACCGTTACATTGCGCGGGCCCATGAAGTATCGTCACCAGAATATAGTTTAATTAGAAAGGGTATTCATAACAAAATATAAATTACTTAAATAATTATTAAAAATCAATATAACACCACTATAAACTTGTATAAAAAAATAAAATACTCTTAAACTTGTAATAAATAGTGAGTTACATATTAAATCAATAATTTATTTTAGATTATACCTTTTATATAAACTTACAGCGTCAGTTCACTCAAACTAACTTGTTGGCCATTTTTAATTTTTACTTATACGTTAACGTTCATTTTTTATTACGCCGCTTTTACTTTAGCAGTTTTGTATTTAGTGTCTTTGTTTTGTGTACACCGATACACTGACAATAATAATAACAGCTAGAATATTATATTTATTATATATATATACTACAAAACACTACTAGTGTATGTATACATCGTGCGCGCAGATCGTGACCGGAAGACGGACAAAAAGATTTCAATTCCATTCCGCAAATTTTCACGCGTACATCAATTTATAAATTATCAACGTTTGAAGTTGTCTCTATGCGCCATCTTGTGTCTAAAATTATTCGGATGAGTTGTTTCTTAGTGCACGGTGGTAATAAAGATAATTAAATTTATATAGATTTAATTTATATATTTTGAAAATTAATAATATCAACTAATATCAATAATTTCTTATGAACCATTGTCTGCTAAAACTTTAATATATGTTATCATTTTTAAAACTTTTCCAGTCATTTTTTAAAAGTTTATCATGATATTGAAATGAGCAGATATATCTGGCAATTTTTCGAATTTTTACAACCAATCGATTATTATAAAAAAAATATTTTTAAAAATTTGTACTTATAATTTTTTAAAATTTCTACATGTAGAAACTTTTCTAAAATTTTTCAATATATTTTAATTGTTATAAAAACCTCAAACATTGTTTGATAGAAAATTAAAAATTTATCTATTCTCATTCCCAAATGCGCAAAAGATAACTTATATGATATTGTCAAAAACAAAAAATTCTCAATAATTTTATTTTTCAATTTTTGATATTTTCTAAAGAAGTCACTCATACTTATATGTAAAAAGAGTCCTGATGAATCAATGTCGCGTGAATGTAAGGGTCTTGGCCGTCTATGAATAGACATGTCAATTTTCTAAAAAAATACCTCCACCAATGTAGTCTCAAAATAAATAACTGAAAAGTGGAAAAAAATATCTGATGTCTATTGATTTAAAAAAATTTTTGGTGTTTTTAATGTATGTGTAATTTATTATTCAACAATACAAAATGCATACAATTTTTTTAAATCCGGGAATCTCAAAAATTTATTAAACATTAGGTTCAATTTCAGTTTTAAAAAACACTAATTTATAGTTAACGATATTAATAACTTATAACTAGAAATTCGAACCATTCCAATTGACCAATTGAAACCTCTACTATCAATTATTAGTTTTTTTAATTAATTTTTCTTGGAACTGAATGATTATATTGAAGCAAATTACCAAAAAGGTAACTAAAAAGTTTTTACGTTATTATTTATATGTACTATAGAAAATAAATAGGTTAATAATTCAACAACTTTTATAACTACCAGCACTTATTTTTTGGTTGTAAATATTTTGCGCTCTTTTTAATCTAGGGATTTTAGACAGTATATATCATTTCGACCATTCGATACAATTAATCCGAGTAATATCGACTTATCGCGATTTCGATAGTTTTTTCATCTACAGTCTAGTCAGTTTATTTATTATTAGTACGATTACAAAAAAAAATTAAACAAAGCATGTTTGTTTAATTGTTATTATTACTAGTTCAGTCATTATTGCTAAGTTCGTCGTAAGTAAAGCAAGCAATTAATTTAAATAAATCAAAAATTGATTTTATTGCAAAATATTTATTTTTAATAATTGTCGATGTACCTTGTAATGTTTTTTTCTTATAAGTATTTATTTATCGAGGAAAAAATTATTTCAGATTAAAATACTACTGATTATTGTTGTTGTAAACATGAGGATTGAGGATATATAGATATAGCGGCTCAACTTATTTGATATTAAGAATAATAATGATAAGATAAAAACAATTCTAATCAAGTTAGAATAAAATTTATTTATTGTTAAAAAAAATCATTAAAATGGCGAAGACAAAGACGATTAGTAAAGGATGTCCAAAATGTGAATTACAGGTAAATATATTTTTTTACGTAACATTTATTGAGATTGAAAGTAGTATGCTGTTGTTACATCAAAAATTTTCTACATTAGATTAATGAAAAATTGCTTATGTAATAACTCAAAAATAGAACAACTCAATAGTTATTAACATGCTAAATTTGTTATAATAAATAACAAGCAACTGTTTAGAATACTAAAAAGTAAATATTCTTTAAAACGAGTCCTATAACTGTTTGCAGTTAAAATATTTAAAAAATAAACTTAAAAATCTAGAAAAATATTGTAATTTTGAATTTTGCAAAGCTTTTGAAA